CCTTGTCAACATGTTTCTTGTCAAAAGAAGCAAAGCTTCAAGTAATTTTTGTGTGTGTCAAATCCTTTTTAGAAGAAGCACACTCACTAGACTGCTGGTCAGAGAAAGACGATGATGTTTGTTTCCATAAAGATTTACAGCCCGAGAGACCCAAAACGTCACCGGGAAACAGTTGACTCAGTGACACTGGGTTGGGTTTGAGATAGGCATGCACACACGAGTACACTTGTACGCAGGTGCGTGCACATACACACAGCCATCCCTCAATTCAGGTAATGTTTTGTGCTGGTTATGCTAATGATTTAAATGGAATTTTCTTATTGCCATTTTTATATCATTTATAATTTTGAGAGTATTCTCTTTCAAAATGTTGTTTTGCTCTATGTTGATTATAGAAGGAGATAGAGGAGTCCTGACGGTGTAGTGGTTCCGTGTTGGGCTGATAACTGTAGGGTCAGTAGTTTGAAACTGCCAGCCGCTCTGCTGGGGTATGATGAGGCTTTCTACCCTTGTGAAGAGTTACAATCCTGGAAACCTGCCAGGGCAGTTGTATGCTATCCTTTAGGGGTGCTAGGGGCTCTGGTGGTGGAGTGGTTACAAGCTGAGCTGCTAATCACAATGTTAGCAGCACTCCGAGGGAAAAAGATGAGGTTTTCATCACCTACAACTGGAAGAGATTATCAAAAGAATAAAGAAACTAATATAATTGGTGTGTGTTTGTGTGTGTGTGTATTCCCTAGTCCTTGATATTTGCATTCCCAAGGATCCCCAAACCAAACTCATTGCTTTCAAGTCATTTCCAACTCAGTGACCCTATATTGCGTAGGTTCCCAAACTTATATGATCCACTGTCCCCTTAAAAAAAGAATTGCTCATGGCCTCCCTAGCAATTAAAACCTTTTTGTCCTCTAGCTCAGAATCCAGGATAAAGTGTAGGTATCTGCTCTTACAATGCCCTTAGATCATTCCACACACACCCCAGGGGGCAGTATCCACCACTAACTAAAATCTACAGGAGCAGATAACCTCATCTTCTTCCCAAGAAGAGACTGATGGTTTTGAACCACTGACCTTGAGGTTAACAGTCCCAACACTTATACAGTAGTGTTACCAGGCTTCCTTCCAAAGGAAATGTGGGAGGGAAGGTCAAAATTGGGAGTTATATTAAGCACATGGGATGTCTCTCTCTACTTAAAATCTTATATTTAATATATTAATATATGTATTTTATCTTTGAAAGAGGAGCTTTGGTGGCATAATGGTTTGCCTTGGGCTGCTGACCTCCAGGTCTGCCGTTTGTAATCACTAGCCACTCTGCCAGAGGAAGATGGGACTTTCTACTCCAGTAAAAAGTTTATAGTCTCTGAAATGCGCACTTCTATCTTGTCTTACAGGCTCGGCTCAGCATCAACTCGATTGCAGGGAGAGAGAGAGAGAGAGAGAGTGTGTGTGTGTGTGTGTGTTAAAATGATACTCTCATTAATCAAATCCAAACTCCCGTCCATCAAGTCGATGCCAGCTCGTAGCCACCCTGTAAATCTCATTAGCGGGCACTCACTTGTTTAGATCGACTTTGGGTCAAGGTTTCTCTCCATTTCAGATAAAGACATAGAAATGTTGATTTCAGCTTCTGTTGAGTTGACTCTGACTCATGATAAATCCATGAACAACAGAAAAAGCTGCCACTCACAATGATATATCACCGTAGAGTCTAATCTCTCAACTCTACAGAAAGCACCAACAAGAAAAAAGATGAGAGTCGGTCCCGGCAGCAGCTGCAGCGGGTCCCATCTTCTCTGCCTCTCTTTGCCATACTCTTCTCGCTTCCGGAAACATGGCCTCTGGTGTGGCTGTCTCCGATGGTGTCATCAAGGTGTTCAATGACATGAAGGTGCCCACATCCTCGACACCGGAGGCGGTCAAGAAGCGCAAGAAGGCTGTGCTCTTCTGCCTGAGCGAGGACAAGAAGAACAT